AATGGGTCGGGTCTGGTTTGGGAAAGGTGTACTAGTCTTGAACCAATTATTAATCGGTTCCATAAGATAGACCCAGAACAGGAAGTAATTATTAATTGGGTATTGGAATAGAATTGGGATCTGCTCCTCCTCACAGCCACATCCCACCCTGTATTGGGAAAATCTCTCCATGAATAATAAATACAAGTACAGGAGATGTTCCCGATGTGTGGCCAGGACATGCTGTGAGGTTGGTGTGAGCTGCGCTCTGTGAGGAGCAGATCCGGACTCATTGGGATGATCGGGTCTGACCTGATGAAACCCAATTATACGGCCTAACATCTATAATTACTTATGATAGTGACAGTGACAACTTAGAACTTTACTTTTGATAATATGACCTTAATAAAAATAGCTGTAAAATAGTAAACTGATTGTATGTCGACAAAACAAGTGTTTTTTAACCTTAGTTATCTTATATACTGACTATAAAATTTACCCTATAGGCATAAAATATAATAAAAAGTGCAAAAAAAAAACCACTACACATTTATATATTATTAACTATATAATCAGTTTGGAACAGAAAGAAGCGGTCCCCAACCCAATTTTTAATTGGGACAGCCACAGAACCAGAACAAACATAATCCGGTTCTGTTATATTGGGTAACCCAACCCATTGACAGCTCTAATTAAAGGCAGGGGTGCAAGTCAGGTACCTAACTCGAAGAATTTACATAGCAGCAGGCTTGGGCTCTCAGGTCAGGCCCATGCAAATTTTAATAAATGCTTAACTCAAGTCTGCCCAAGTTGCAGGCTTGCAGCCTCTAATTTAAAGTGGTATAATTTATCCTACATGTGGTATATTGAAATTCAGCATTAACAACTTTGGACGTTGCCTGCTTGTAAAGTTGGCATAATCGATATGTAGTAATACCAAACCCTGAATTCGGCACCTGTTGTAACCACTTCTCTACTAACTAGTGCATTAATCATCATATTACTGGTACATACCTAAACATCATCTTAACCGTAAAAACTGAAGATGTTTTGGCGATCAAGCTCTCAAGTCTCAACTTAAAAAACAGAAAAGAAAATTATTTGAAAGGAAAAGGGAAATGTATCAACCTGACTTAAATTTTTCTTTTTTTTTTAAAACAATAATTAATAGAGTATCTTATCAGCCAGAAAAATTTTAAAAACAATAATTACTAGAGCATCTTAGTACCATATCATTTTTGTTTCCAGAAAATTTTGAACTGTAAATATTAATATTTGCTTCATCTAGCAGTAAATTAACAAGGGTTTGATTACCCTTTAGAATATAAAACCATATAAAAAACATATAGCAGTAAATCAACAAAGGCTAGCAGATAACCTCAATTGTAAGAAAAGGGAAACAAAAGAAAAGGAACATGTGCTAATCTCCTTGTTCCTTCTACTATAAACTTGAAACAAAAGAAAACAAAAGAAATTTTCTCTTTCATTTCTTATTTCAATAATTATTTTTTTTTCTATAATTGGGCATTAAAATCTCCTGAAGCTCTGAGTTTAATCGAACTAAAATTAAATTAAAATGGAAATTCCCAAGGATAGATCATAGATGCAATAGTTACCAACCTTCAGGCAAAAGCTTACATTAGAAGATAAGTTTTAATTGAGAACCTCGAATCCTAAACTTAACCCAGAAGAACGAATCCTCTCAATAAGACCATCAATGGGACTCGTACAGAGATTCTTCCTCTTCCCCAGTTGTCAAAAACTCAAAATTCCGAGCAAGAACGCAGAAAATTCCCTTTAAAAAAGGGAAATGAAAAAGAAAAAACTATACCACACCTAAACCAGAGAAAGAAGGCCTTGAAAATTATACTAGACAATCAAATTGTAATTTGCCAGATACAATCCCGTAAATTTACGAACAATGTTTTCTCAAGAAAATGAATTTCCGTGACACAAACAAGACGATTCCTCTCAACAACATGCACGGAAGAAACCAATTCCAAGAATTAATTAAGCACACAATTCCAAGAATCTCGAAGGGAATTGCTCAAAATAGGAGAAGAAAGAAGAAATCATTTTGAAAGTTACCTCAAGCTTCTGAAGAAACCAAAACCAAAGCCCCTGCTTCAGTGCTTCTTGTTCCTTCTTCTTCTATAATTTAAGTTGGGGCCGAAGCCGACGAAAGAGTTCGGAAAGAATCGCCTGAGAAGCTGCAGTTTTATAAATACAGAGACCGAGTAAGAAAGAGAGATGGAAGGGAAAGAGACTGTGAAACGGAAGCTTCGTACGGCAATGGTGATTAACGGTAACGGCTGTCATGGTTGGTCTCTTCTCTTCTTCTTAGAAAAAGGTTGTTTGTCCGCGTCTTTGACGAAACCACGTCATTGAAGAGAATGACGGCGTGTCACCGACCACACCTTACGATCGACCTCATACTAGAGCATTCAATTTCCGGCGCATTGTAGCACCCTGGAGTTCTACCATCTCTAAGGTGCACCTAGCGCGTCGTGTCGTAGGCTTACTTTGGGCCGGCTGACGACCACGTGACATAAACGTGACGCTTTGCTGGGTTGAAAAGGGCGGACTTTGGTTTTTGACAAAAAGGACGGAAACAGGTGAGAATGTGCATGGACTATGACTCATAAAGGGATACTTGGGACACGTGTAATGTTGTTTTGGTAAAAGTGTGATGGTTTGACCTGACGTGGCACGCGATGAGGAAAGTTTGGTTCTGAACATCGAGGCTCGAGACGGAAAATAAATGATCCACCACCAGGATTCTGGAAACCGGAAAATGATTCCAACGCACAAGGGTGCCATTATGATTATACCAGCTACGGGAACCAAGCTCTCGCTCTAAACCGTGGGCCGCCCTGTCCAGCTGGATTGTGCTGGATTTTTCAAAGAACTTCCTGGTAATTCCCATCCAACGGCTGAGAGCTTGATAATTACTTAGTGGCTCTATAGTGATCCCAAGTCTGAACACTGACGAGCGGTCAAATTTCAACAAGTAGGAACGCCCCAAATGATCGAGACACCACTTGAAGCTCGTTAGCTGAAGGATCCCCCACCCATCCCCCACATGATCAGCTCATTAGCTGAAGGATCCCCCACCCATCCCCCACATGATCAGCTCATTAGCTGAAGGATCCCCCACCCATCCCCCACTTGAAGCATATGTTTTGTCTTATCAAATCAAAAACAGAAAGAAAGAATATGTTTTGATAGGCTGTGTTTGGTTGCAATGCAAATAAGTTTATACTGTTGTAAATTCATGACAGTGAAATGCTTTTGAGTGTAAATTCTGATTTATTTTTGTTTTAAATTTTAATTTATTTTATTTATTTACAGTACAAATGAAGTAAATTAAAACATAAAGTATAATAAAATAAAATTCAAAACAAAATTAAACGAGGATTTACATATTTTTACATTTGCACTCTCATACATTTATATTAATATAAATATAAATAAAATTATATAGCAAACAAACACAGCCTAAGTTTCTCTTTTATTTTTGGATATGTAACGATTCAGGAGGAGATAAATTATAAATGAAACGATCAAACGAAACCTTCTTTAATGAGGAAACGCAACTTGAGTATAGTCGATGGTCATGGTCCCAAGTAAATTTCACTCCACAGTAGAAGCTTGCATGCATGGAATCGTATTCGTAACACGATAGCTGATGTACACCTCCCAATGGGTCCACCGTGGTAAGTTTCAGATTTAAATGCGCACCCCAATCGTGTTAACAAGGCTATTTAAATAGTTGCCATTTTGTAATGCATGTTTATTTGGTATGTATTTGGTATTTCGTTTATTCATTAAACATTTGTAAAAACGAGAAAAACAATAATAAAATTATTTATTGACAATTAGATGCCGGTAGACATCATATAACAGTGAATAAACGTCTAACAATCGGAGAGAAGCATTAAAATGAAGATTCTCCTAATGATAGGCATGTACATAAATCAAGGCCAACTTTTGCAATTCTCTATGTATAGGGATTAATATGATGGGCTAAATGCTGAAGTGGCGCCTATATAGTAATGTTTACCCAAGTAAGTGGAAGATGGGCCACTCCCTACTCTTAGGCCCCATTCACTTTTCGGTAAGTTATTTACCCAAGTAAGTGCATTTATCCATGTTCTTTTATTTCTCAGGTAAATAAGGCAATGACCATTTTAACCATAGAAATCCATCATTAAAAAGGGCATTTTTGTCCCATTCAAGTGTTGGCAACTTCCCCCTATGTGAGAAAGTTATTTACCCACCTAGGAGATGGATATCACTTTCCTGGGTAAATGATACCTAGGAAAATAAACTTTCACTAATCTCCACATAAAGCTGAAAAAAGAACTTGGGATTTTTGGTCAATGGAAACCAAAATCCCATTGACCAACTTTCCCCCCTCTCCAAATCCAAAAAAAAGAACGCCCCCTTAGTTGTTCATCTACAGTAGACGGGAGTGTGGGTTCAAGCCCATTCAATCGATGCTCTCGTTTTTGTCAAGGTTTTTAGGTGTGCTTAGGTCTTTTTTGTGTGTGTTTCCTCTTTTGTGTTTGTTGGTAGGTGTTCAAGTATTTGTATTATGCCTTCATTGTTATAGGAATCTTCAAGGGATTTGTGGTTTATGTTGAAGGATTATGACCTTCATTTTATTGGTGATTTCCTCATTAATGCCGATTGCAAAGACCTTACTTGTTGATGCTCCTAGTGCTCAGCTTATCTAGGTTGTTGTTTCTTTCTTGATGTATGGTGGTGTCTAGTTGGTTTTGAGTCTTGAATTCCTTAAGCTTTCTACTTATTTCTTGTAATATGAGCATTTTCAATGAAGAATTGCCTTTTGGCCTAAAAAAAGGGTAAATCTCTTAAACTATCTCTACTGTTCACAAATTTTGACATACATATCTTTACTGTTTACATATTATCTTGTAGTACCCTTAAATTTTCTGACAATTGTCCAAATACTCCCCTATCATTACTCAACTATCGGTCCTATGACACCATATGATTGATAATTTTGTTCATAATTCCCAAAATACCTTTGTACTGTTACTTGTCACCTGACCGTCCCACATCTTCTCCACCCTCTCCACCACTCTTTCACCCTCTCCGATATAGTGTGAATCTCACCGTTGTAGGAGAGGTCACTCCCTTCATTTTTACTTCATCAGTCCCCGTAGGGCATAGTCGTAGACGACTGTAGACGAAGAATAGAAAAGGCAAGCAGAAAAAGCTATGGCCTCCAATTCGAGGTTGCTGGTCTGTTGTAACCTCCTGCTCTTCCCCATCCTATACCTTCGTGACCGAAGAGTCAACTACGGCGGTGAAGTCTCGATCGATGGCAGAGAAGGCACCGGAGGTTTGTGCAGAACAATCTCTCATTTTCTATAGAAAACCATCTTTTGAAGCTGGAGTCCAGATGTTCTTCTCTCAGGTGGTGATAGCGGTGCTATTAAGGATCACTCTAACGATCTCAGCAACGGTTGTGCCATCCTGGTAGTGGTCATGGTTTGCACTTTTGTTTTATCGTTCGTGTGGTCATGGGGCCTCTTGGGTGGTCTCTCTCTTCTCCATTCTCTCTCTCGCCCCTGTTTTATCATTGCCGCCGCTGCAAGTTGCAGCGCGGTGGTGATGAACTAGGGGCAAGAGAACGAAGGGGACAAAGGGGAGGAAGAGAGAAAGGGGGGGAGTGTTGTCGCCTGTGATGGCTTCGCCAAGAGGGAGAGAGAACGAATGGCTCATCATAGGCACAACTGTTGTTCTTTCTCCCTCTCGGCACAGCCGTCGTAGGCGATGGTAGCCACCGGCGAAGGGCTCCCTCCCTCTCTTTCTCTCTTCCTCTCCTTCATTCTCTCTCTCCCCCAGTCTCTCTCTTGCCCCTGTTTTATCACCGCCGCTTGCAGTAGTGGTGGTGATGAAATAGGGGCGAGAGAAAGAAGGGGATGTTGGGGAGGAAGAGAGAAAGGGAGGGATGGAGCCCTTCACCGGTGGCTGTCGTCGCCTGTGACGGAGAGAGAACGAATGGCTCATCGCAGGCACAGTCATCATTCTCTCTCCCTCTCAGCATAGCGGTCACAGGCGATGACAACCACTGGCGCTCCCTCCCTCCCTTTCTCTAAGCACAGCCGTCGCAGGGGACGACAGCCATGGGCTCCCTCCCTCCCTTTCTCTTAGCACAGCCGTCGTAGGTGACTACAGCCATCAGCAAAGGGCTCCCTCCCTCTCTTTCTCTCTTCCTCCCCTTCGTTCTCTCTCTCTCCCCTTCGTCCCCTTCGTCCCCTTCGTTCTCTCTCCCTTTGAGCACCCTAAGCCTTTTCCCTTGCTGCTTCAACATGCAACACCTCCTATATCTTTCTTCCCAAGCAACAACTTACAACCATGGATATATAAATTAGGACCAGACTGCAGAGAGCTTTTGAGTACTGTGTCTATGTGTGTCTTCAGTACTTTTGTGGTGGGTTAGAGAAGAAAGTGTAGGAGATCACTTTGGATCTTCTCGGCTGGAACCATGATAAACTTTCGGGCGAGAATAATCCTTTAATCGATCCCGCATTAAGGAAGGAAGGGTAAGAAAATAATTTGCAAAATTGGTTTGATGTGAGTGAGAGTTAATGAAAGGGTAAAAATGTAAAATTAACTTTTTCGTCCCTATTTAATGACATGATAATTATCAAAAAAACTTAAGGGAACTGTAAGACAATATCTAAATAATAAGGGTATGGTGTGTCAAATTCGTAAACAGTAGGGATAGTTTAAGAGATTTACCCAAAAAATTATTGGCAATATTCTTGGGTGGAAAAGTTATTTACCCACCTAAGTAATTGATACCCAGTCACTTAGGAAAACAAACTTTCTCTTATCCCCATATAAATATGAAACAAGAATATAAATTTCAAATTCAGAATTCCATTGACCAACTTCCCTCCATTCTAAAAAAACAAAAATCCTAAAAAGTCAAATATTGTGATTTGGAAAGCAAAAGATACAATGAGATTTTATCTTTTCTTCTTTATTTTTGCCATTCTATATTCAACCAAGTGTATCCAATTGATTTGATGGCTTGTGAAGGAAGAGGCTGGCTCTCAATACTTCAGTCTAAACAATAGATCGGACTGTGTTTTCAGTTGACACGGTCTATTGAAATTCAAAGTTTGCCCCAAGTTAATGGTCAGAGGTCACTATACATCTATTAAAAAGGGAGCTCAGAGTGGCACTCCC